GTGTTGGGTTTGGCAACCTTGGAAAATTGCCATGGCACCCAGTGGGATTATATCAGGTGACGTTTGCAGATTTGCAAGTGGCGTCATCCTTTTTTTTTCCCTTAAATTTTGGGGGTTTTACATTTCTATAAACTATTTAAACGTTATATGTTGAGTTGATTGTGAGCTCGACTTGTATAGGTTCTAACCAGTGTTTTAAAACGCGCATCGCACATCGCGTCGCGTTTTGGTCCTTATATTGCGTAGCGTAGATAGCGTAGCGCGTTGCGTAAGCTATTCGAGCATTCACTTTTAATTCCAAAATAATAATATATATAACCATACGAATAATAAATAATCGAAATAGTCTTAAACCATAAACTTGGACATTAAATCTAAAAAACAACATTCAAGTATTGGTTCATACAAGCAACCCAAAATCATAATCGTCAAAGTAAAGACTCAAAATCTAAAAATAATCGGTCTCATCTAATTGATTTGGTTATCATCGTCAATACTATTAAAGTGTGGGTAATTTCCACTATCAAAGATCATTGGTCCAGTTTCACCGAATTCTTGCATCTTCTCATCATCATGAATGTCAATAAGATGCTTGTTTCCACCTGTTACATACATGAATGAACTAACATCTTTTTATTTACAAAAAAAAATAAAAAAAAAGGGCATACTTACTTGAGCTTTCACGGATTTTTCTTCTTTATATAGAATGATTTTGATTGTTATTATCACAAAATCATGTTTGTTCACAAATCACAACAATAATTGCATATTTGACTGGAATAAGGCAGTAATCACAACAAAACAATAATCTCTTCATCTCTTCAGTTATGTTTGGATCCATCTTCTTAACCTTAATGTTAAACAAACTAACAATTTAGTTTAGAAACATTATTTGAATCATCCTAATAAAAAACAAAAGGTTGCATATTTCTTCAAAGACTTCACTATGTTCCATTACCAAATAAAAATTAATTCAGGACACAGTTAATTTGTCTTATATGTTCCATATTGAGTAGTGAGTTTATTGATAAATAAAAAAGAGCTGCATATTCTTGAGAAACTACAACTAAAATAGAATCATCAAATTAAACAGACCTGCATATGTTCTATACTTCTATG